GGGTGAGGGAGCAGCCCATGCTAAAACGGCTATGGACGGTGTGTCAGGGTCCCACCACCTCCCCTGAGCTTCGGGATCACAAGTTTCATTTCATTAATGGAGGAATGGAAAGGGACAAGAAGAAGCCCATACTCTGTAATGCCTGCCTGCGACTCCTCCACTTCACGCCAGGTATGGCTGACACCTGTGGAAGTGAGTTCGTTTTTGGATACTCGTTCCTGCAGATCTATTTCTGCATGGTCAGTCCCTATGTCCATTATTTTCCCTGCAGTGATAAATTGATTGTTGGAGCTTTGGAGGGAGTACTATCCTTTTTTAGGTTTGGCTTAGCTGGTGGTGGCTGAATGTTGTATTAATTATACTTGATTTATAACACAGATAGATGACGATAAGATTAAAAATTTAAAATCCAAATTTACTCAACCTAGCCCACCGAGAAATTTAATATCCAAAACCAAATTTAAACTAAATAAAACCAAATTGATTTAGTTGGGTTTTTAAATGATTCATCTAAACCATATGATTTATCAATCCAGATCATTATTATCAACTCAAATTATTATTTTCAAACAGGAAGGCATTTGAAAATGATAATTTTAAAAAAATATTTTTTACTTGTAGATATACTAAAATAATATATATTTTTATTTTTTAAAAATTCTTTTTAACATCATATATAAAATTATCAAAAGAATATTAATTTATAAAAATATCTTGTATTTATTAGATCCTAGAAGCCTCCTAGTTAGTCGAACATGACAGCATTAACTACCAATCACTATGGACATTCGACCGTGGCTAGACCGCCCTCATTAATATCCGGCGAGAGCAGCACAGATCTAGCCGTGCTTCCAGGGATTTTTGAATTTTAAAAACACTGAAGGAAATGAACCCAACATAATTACAAACGTGGCCAATCACTGCAATCTAATTGATTGAACTCAAGAGGAGCAGATCCACGTGATAATTTCTCGATCTTTACTACAGCTTGAATTTTAGTTCATTTAACGTAAAATTTGCTCAATGCGAGTTTTAACATTTACTGAGGATGAATTGATATCCGATGCAAAAATTTGGGGAAGTGCGCAACAGAATCGGGTAAGGAGGGGGGAATGTATCCTTCACAATCTAGAGACTACAA